TTGATTATTGAAACACCTCAGCAGAAATATCGGCTTAATGGGCTATCAACAAGTTTTTGAAAATCTAGAACAATTGCTTTACATTTTTTAATGAATTTACAATCTTCTTTGAGAGGGCAACACAAATTACCAGACAAAACAGAATATTTAGAGAAGTGGGAAACCTGTAGCTTTTAAGAAGATATTGGAATATTACCCAAAAAGTAACATTGGCCACGTGTGATGTGAATTTCAGTCCATGTTGTTTTCTGAGCAGAAAATGTTTTCCGTCCAGATTTGCTTTATATGCAGTAAATTACACTTACACTTACACACACAGTGCTTCATCAAATCTAAGGCACACCTTTTTTTCCCCCTTGCTTAAGGAGTTTCAAAAAACTCAATTCGTTTCATGTTTTTTTCTCTCAAAACTGTCTGATCTCCAACAGGAAAAAAAGGAGGGGAAGGGTCCCAGCCCCAAATAGCACTGGCAGGTCCTCACCATTTTGTCCTCAAACTCAGCCAGATAGATATTTACGAGTATTTTTATGTAAGTGATGCTTCCTGCTTTTGCTGCCTCCTCAATGGACCCATAGACTTAATAAAATAGATCCTTGCAGACAAGAAAAGGCATCACAAAGCCACATTGAAACAAAAAATGGTATTGTGCATGCAGAGGAAATTCTTAGCAAATATTATAATATTTTTCCTAATTGCACCTTAGACTCAGTGAAATACTATATATATGTGTGTGTGTGTGTGTATCATATATATCATATATATTGTATATATCGTATATATCACATATATTTACAGAAAGGCAAAGATCTCATCCATCTATGAATCTGTTCACCATGGTATTCCAACATTAAAAGAAACGTATTTTTGAATGAGATTTGAATACTTATTACAATTATTTTCATCCCTATTATGTACTGGCCATCTGGAATCCTGGACACTACATTTCAGTAGTTTTTATTTTATGCATTTGATGTTTTTAACAGGTGGTGCTAGGGAATAGTTTCTCATAGACATTTAGACATGAAAGACAAACTATGAAATGATTCATGTGAAAAGTGGTGCTATTTTTCTATAGTTCCTCGGTGCTATAGTACTACATATCCATTCACCTTTCCCCAAATCTCTGTCAACTTAAATTTGTGACCAAAATGCACAGACTGTATGATTTCAGAATGATGTTTAATCGGATAATACAATCGTTTGCTGTATTTTCAAATGCCTTCCTTCGTTAGACATGGGGTGGGGGAGATAATACTTAGTATTCAAAGCGATAATTCTGTGGATTGGCTGTTATCAGGAAGCGAGACATGGGTCTGATTAAAGTCTGTGTGTGAATGAGATCTGTTACTGTATACATTATTAATGAACTCAGGGTAATTGTAAAGTTTTATGACTTAGGGATCAGTAGAAATTGGTTCCACGGTCATTTTGAGAAATTATGAGAATATGCCCTGCACTGTGGGTGCTGATAGCTTAGCATTAGTCATGGTCTTCCCGCAGTCATGGCCTGTGACAGCACTTAATGATAGTCATTTTGTAGTGTGACCATGCATTAGAATAGATTTACAAGAGCAGAAAATGTCAGATAGCAAACTGAAGAGTTCTTTGTCAGTTCTTAGCAGAGAACATCTCTAATTCTACGAGTTAGGCTGGCTGGAACTTGGGGTCAAGATGAGTATTTTGCAGAAGCATGCAACATGTAGAGCAGGAGTAAGGCAACTTTAGCTCTCTATATACCTTGGCCTTTAACTAACAAAAGTATTTAGGTTGTCCAAAACATCTTTTCACCACCATCATTGTAACGGGGAGAAGAACTCAATGAGCATGAAATGCTACTGGAACTTAAGGTGTAATACTATATGCAGTTATTTGAAGATATATCCCATTGGACACAAGAGGAATTACTACTGAATAAAGATATTTTGTGTTGTGCTCTCTCTCACACACACACCAAAAATGTTGGTCTACAAAAAGGGTTCAGGCTATTTTTATATGCACCATTTTTAGAAGGATGGGACAACCCTAGCTTTTTGTTTGAATAATTTACAGTAGTGAAAAGTACAACTATGATACATAGATCAGTTAAAAATAATAGTTTAAATACTTCAGTCTTCCATATCTCCAACTTCATTTGGAAAGACATCTATCTGAATGTATCTGATGTGTTGTATTGCCATTCAGAAACAATATGAAGAAACATTAAGCAGTTAAACACCTATTTTCAGCTTCAGAGGTGGCCACTGTGGAGTGTAAAGAAGGGATGAATATAACTCTGGGAGGCTTTTGTACAGAACATTATCAGAAAGACTGAGGATGATATTTACTGTTCTAAAACAGGTGCTGCCGCTTTGCTATCATGTGACTGTCTCCTGCAGAATTCTGTAGTTTAGGGAAGCCGAGGACCTCTCCAGCTGAGAATTCCAAAGGATCCACCATAAACTAAATTTCCCAAAATTATACAGGAGACAGCCACCCAGCATCAAAGTGGAGGCGCCCACATTAGAACAGTAATCTGATATCATACTGAGATGTTCCATATAATCCAATAGTCTTAGTTGATCTCTGATTTCAACCCATCTGTGGAATTGCTCCCAGACCTGATTCAGTGTTTGATTAATATATGAGGGAGAGTGCATCTAATTGCCATATAATCCAGATTATCAAATCAGATAATCCAATTCAACACAGATAATCAGGATTATCTGATTTGATAATCTGGATTATATGGCAGTTAGATGCAGTCTCCCTCATATCTTAACCAAACAGTGAATCGGGTCTGAGAGCAATTCCAGGGGTAATTAAAATTCCAGGGGTGCTGTACCACTTCTGTGTGTATGTGACAAGCATTTATGGGGACTATAATAAGTATTCTTTATTTACATTTATATCCTATATTTCAATTAAGACCCTTAAGGTACCATGCAAAATCAATCTTTTTTAATGATTATTATTCTCATACCAGGCCTGTGATTAGGATAGAATGAAACATCAGTGGGCCATAATCTACCAAGCCCACGGTGTTGCAGTGGGTTAAACCCCTGTGCGGAAGGACTGAAGACCGACAGGTCATAGGTTCAAATCTGGGGAGAGCGCGGATGAGCTCCCTCTATCAGCTCCAGCTCCTCATGCGGGGACATGAGAGAAGCCTCCCACAAGGATGACAAAACATCAAAACATCCGGGCGTCCCCTGGGCAACGTCCTCACAGACGGCCAATTCTCTCACACCAGAAGCAACTTGCAGTTTTTCAAATCACTCCTGACAAGACAAAAAAAATCTACCAATGAATTGAGATTTTGACATAGACCATTCTAGCCATGGTACAATAATGTAGCCACAAGGTCATTGTGTAAATGTTGATTGTCAGCTCTATGTGACCTATTTCTGATGTGGGAAATTATTAAACACTTTCTCTTCATTGTATCTGTATTTATTTACTTTGCTGTACTGCAGAGCATTACTGGAATTCAATGGTATTTCTTTTCCAGAAGTAAAGCACGTTATGAACATCTTTGAAGGAAATTAACGTGGTGTGGTGGCTTGAGTGCATGGCAAGAACTTGGGGGAGGGGGCATTTATGGAATCCCACTAGGTGTCCTTGGGCAAATTACACTCTTGAGCCCCTCAACTACACCAAACATTTAATGAGTTTGAAGTTGGCTTCAGACAGTGACTACCAGTGAACAAATGCCTGCAAAAGCACACAAAAGAAAGCCTTTAATGTGCATGAGTGCTCTTTAGATTGTGTCATCACCATCCAGACATCAAACTGGTTCTAGGATTTCCTGTGTAGTCATCTGCACAGTGAAACCACTTTTTTTCAATACTGGATTGAAACAACATTAAATGGTTTGCGTAGATGGCCCGTTTGCCTCAGAGAAAGGTGATGGCAAAACTTCTCGGAATAAAATTTGCCAAGAAGCTCCTATAATAAGTTCATTTTAGGGTCATAATAATTCAGAAACTACTTGAAGGTGCACAACAACAGCAACCATTACATTATTTTTTCCTTTTCAGCCCTGTATTGAAGAGTTGAGAATTGATTTAGATTATGTGGCCACGTCATTGTTGAAAGCTAACCATAATGCAAGAAGCAACACTAAAGTGCAAGCCTGCTGTGTCAAAGTAATAAAAACAACACCTAGTTCAAGGCCTGGTCTGAAATATTTTCAGGAGTGAGTTTATCGCATTCTACTCCCCCCCCCACCCCCACCCCCAAGTGCATGGTGATTGATTTGTGAAAGCAGATTTTTTTCTGATTGCATAGGGCATTGCCATTTTTTTGCCCATTCCACAATACCCTTAGATTTTGAATGCACGATGACAACAAACCAACACCAAAATAGGCTCTTGGAAGGCTAATAAATGTTCCTTAAACCAGCATCAACTTCCAAACTAGCACTTTCTTATAGATGTGATATAAATAGCCAATTGTGCCCAAATAGCTGGAGGATGGGTGGATTGATCCTGTCCTTGGAGATACTGGAAATCATCTTGTTTCCTGTGGCACTTTATCCTATCTCTAAAGAAGAAGAGACAAAATCCTCCCCAAGATCTAATTCAAAAGAGATGACCCTAAAATGGGGGCACTAGCAATACTGCTCATTGGGTTATTATAAAAAATGGACAATGGAAGCAGGAGATATTCTAATTATCACACAAATGGCATATTACTGTAGAGCACTGTCATATCCATGACAAAGTGGTTGCATACAGCTAATCCTAAGCATTTACATATTGGTGTAGTGATCTAGATTTTTGCTTGATGTACTTGTTTCTTTAAATATTACTACTGTTGAAAAGGCAGAGCAATTTAATAATGACAGATGAGGACCTAGACGACTTTTAGAAAGCATTCACTATGAGCTATAAAAGAGAATTATTTCTGTTTTCCAGAGCAATTTGATAAGGATCAATATATTATTTACAAAGAGGGGATTCAGAAAGGAGACAGAAGTGTAGGTAAATAATATACTGCCCTTTCTTTTTCTTCCAACCAAGGATTTGAAGGTCTGAACTGTGAAATCAACTTTGATGACTGCTCTTACCACTTCTGCAAAAACAATTCAACATGTTTAGACCTGGTTGCAGACTATGCTTGTATTTGTCCTCCAGGCTTCACTGGTAAGCCATTATCTGAGATCTTAAATGAAACAATAAATATTTAAAGGTTCCATTATACCTTGCAAAATTAAAAGTAAATAACTGGTGATGGTCACATTTTATACATTATCCCTTTGTGAATAATAATAGTGAGATATGATACAATAAGGCTCATCAATTATCTTCCTTAATCCTCTGGGTGTAGGGTGAGAATTGGAAATGATGACATTACTGTTTCTGAGTTAATTGAAAGAAGTTTTTTTTTAAAAAAAACCCTCTTATCTCAGTGGTAACTATCCTAATTCTAACAAAAGTCAAGTACACGCTATCCACTATAATGTTTTTGGTCAATTGTTTTTAAAGACATTATGTTGGGTTGCATACTTTGAGCATCAAAGGGTGCTTCCAGGCAGGCCAGAAATGTGTGCCAAAGTGGGGATTTAAAGCACACTTTGGTGTGCAATTTTGTCTCCACTGCACCCTGAAAACCCAGGTTTTCTGGGCRAGGCTACATGCCATCCCAATAGCAATTGGAATGCCATGCAGCCCCCTGCAAAGTCTCCCCCCCCCCACCTCCCCTTTAAAAATTAAGAAAATTCACCTGGCCACCATTAAGTTCTTCCTTGTGGATTGCTAGCATGAGGAAATTATGCACCAAGAGGCAGGGAGGGATGGAGATGTTCTCCCCCCCCCCCCGCAGTCTCTTGGCACATCATTTCCTCACACCAGGAGGCCACAAGGAGGAATTTAATTGGGGGCTGGGGAGGGTTTGGGTGCCATCCCTGACATTTGGGCTTCAAGAGCCCAAAAGGTACAGGATAGCAAATGGGGACTCACCCCTGGGTAGTCCCAGGACTACTTATAAGTGAGTCTGCACAGGCCCAATACCTTATTATACCCAGGCCTTTCAGGAAGGCCCAAATCTAATGAGGCATTTAATTAATCTGGAATAACTGTAGTTATTCCGAAATCATTCATTTTTACAGAGTGCATAGTTTGGAGGCTCTTTGTAAAAAAAAACCAGACAGGTCCCATGTTTGGGCCTGTCTGGATTGGCCCAAAGGCTGTTCCTAGGTTCTTGGATGGCTGTCCCAGAGATGCTAGACTTAATCATCCCTTGTTGTCCTTCAATGAGCAAGCAAAGACCTTCATAGTCCAATAGGCTTTTGCAGACTGACACTACTACAAGAAAGGGCTTTTATTAGTATACAGCCTGTGACAGACCCTTCCTGGGTTACTCACAAAGACACTAACAGCTCCCTGAGGTTAATATTTGGGGCCTTAAGGTGGCTAAGCAAGCACGTTTTATCTTGGATGAGTTGTAACTGTGTCACTGATTTTCGCTTTAAAACCCGTAACTGAATGACTCAGGCAGACATGTAAAAAGAAACCATAACAAGGATTTATTCAATAAGAGAAGGCTCTAACAACAAACATGTAAGCTTATTTTAAAATCCATGTAACTATTTATGTGAAGTCTTTTCTCAGACACTTCACTATCAACCATTCTATCCACGGTCCCAACTAATCAGAAACGTAATGTTTTCCCTATCACATCCTATCTCTATTTCTAACTAGTTCTATCTGACAGTTATACTGTCAAACATCTCCTTTTATATTTCCCCCTTCTTAAATATATTTTCTCCCAAGAGGTGTGAATGGTTAGTTGTACTCAGGCTGGCATTTGGTCTTTTTTACTTAACTCTTTTACTTCTAATAATACATCTTAAGGGTGAAAGGTGAGAATCAAATTGTTCTTGGGTTACTGTATGCTACGACTTTGCACTCTGTTGTGGGTTTTGAGGCGATGATGAACTAGAGTGTTTGTTCCAGAGTAGTGTCCTAGTGTCCCATATTTATGGATTATTTCACTATGGTTTAGTTATGAATAGTTTCAATATTTCATTATATTCATTCTTCTTAAAAATAACAATTCAAGCTCTGCAAAAGAAGTACCAGTCATTAATTTATGTCTTGTTTAATACTGCCTGCTCTTACAGTACTGCCCATTCTCTTTACCCACTCTCTGAATCATTTTGTTTGGGAGTATGTGATAGGGATGTAGAAATACATCAGTGCCATGAATTCATCCTATAGTTGCCATGTAAGGACAATGGGCTTTGGTCAAATGGTGAGTCTAATTCAGCCCTTTTTGTAAAATGCACACTGAAACCTTTATACCCCTTGGCCCTTTGAAATCCTCCTTGTCTTTCTGATGGATAGCTTTGTCATATAGAAAATCTCACTTTTGTCTAGCCTTCTTTTCTTCTTGCCATGCCCTATGTGTTCTAAGTAATTTATTGTTGATTGAAAAGTCTGCAATAAATACCTGTGATTGGTTCTGTCTCATGAACAAGTTGACATTACACTAGATGAAAGACCTACTCTTGGTTGGGACTCAGCTGTGTTTCTCAGAATCAAAGCTTCCATTAACCTAGCTTTGTTCAGATTGTTGAGAATCACTCAGAAAAATAGGAGTGGGTAAATCCTAGCTATCTAGATGTTTGATGTTCCATTCCAATTATCTCATGCCATGTGCTATGTTGGCTGGGATTTTGGGGAGGTATAGTTCAACAACAGCCCTAGTTCTACACTATCATCTGCCAGGATCACTTATGTATACAAGTTATTTTATTTTATTTTGGGGGAGGGGGGGGGGACTTCTTATGCCTATACCATACTTAGGACAGTGTTGACTGCAGCAAAAAGCAACAAAATCCCAAATACACAAAGCAGCAATATATTTATTGAGCCAAATCCAAAGTATAAAATACATCATGTAAGCTTTTGAAGCTTTACTGGTTTCTTCATCAGTTAACAATGCAAAAATCATAGAGGAGAAGAAACGTGATATTAGGGCCACAAACCCGTATTTTGTTTTATCTTAATCTCTCGTCAGTTAAGATGGTTTGATGGAAGTTGCCTATGTTTATATGATGTTTTTGTGTGGATGAGGCTCATATAATTGCAGGCTCTTAAACAGACTCTGTAGCTGTATGGAAAATGTTGATGCAAATGCAATTTCTATGCTTGTGATCACTTTTTGGCATTCTACCAAAGGTATACAGGGCTAGGCAAGGTAAACAGGGGTAGACTGGTTCTTCCATATTCTAATATTTATTTATTTATCAATTTCATCGGATGGTCAGAAAAAATGAGCCGATGTAATAAAAATACTTTAGAAAGCACTACAAAAATTACTAAAATCATGATGAAGGATACTTTTGGTTTTGCTAATATAATAGAAAAGTAAAGAAACTTTTTGAGAAAACCTGATCTTAGGATGCCTTTATTTTATATATTCCCAAAAATACACAAGTTTTTTCAATAGTGTTAAGGTGTGGTTCAATAAAACATGTTCTGTTTACAAACAAAACATTTACCRTGTATTCCGGTGTATAAGACGACTGGGCGTATAAGACGACCCCSACATTTTCCAGTTAAAATATAGAGTTTGGGATATACTCACTATACAAGACAACCCCTCTTCCGTAGCCGGCTCTTAGGCTTAGAAATGGAGATGAGCACCAACCCCGTGAGTTGGACATGACTGSACTTAATGTCAGGGGAAAACATTTGCCTTTCCTAGAGTGAGCCCWGGGCCAGGTCCAACGTCCTTTCCCCAACAGCAACAACAATAATAGAACCCTAGAGTTGGACGGGACTCCAATGGCCAGCCAGTCTAACCCTAATTCTGCCAGGCAGAAACACACATTGGGATGATAGGTGGCCATCCTGCTTTGCTTAATAACAGCCATAATAATTGAATCCTAGAGTTGGAAGGGACCCTAATGGCCATCCAATCTGACTCCAATTCTGCCAGGGAGGAATACATATCCAAGCTCTCCCAACAGGTGGCCATCCAGTTTTCCTGGATGATGATGATGATAATAGTAATAATAATAGTAATGGGACCCTTGAGTTGGAAGGGACCCCAGTGGCGATCCAGTCAAACCCCACTCACTCCTGCCAGGCAGGAGGACCCGATCCAAGCCCTCCCAACAGGTGGCCATCCAGTTTTCCTGGATGATGATGATGATGATGATAATAGTAATAATAATAGTAATGGGACCCTTGAGTTGGAAGGGACCCCAGTGGCCACCCAGTACAACCTCACTCACTCCAGCCAGTCAGGAAGACACCATCCAAGCCCTCCCCAGAACGAGGAGGAAAGGCAAGCTAAGGAGGGGGGTTGCCTATCCCCTCTGGAATGAAGGCAGGGGTGAGTGAGGACTTACAGGTGTTCCGTATTGTGGGGGACATTCCTGGGGATGCTCTGCAGCACCAGCCCATGACAGCCCACAGTGCTGTCTGAGCAGGAGCACTGAGCCAGGCAGGGCTGCAGCGCCACTGCCATGGGATGGAGAAGCAGCACCAGAAGCAGTGTCCCCAGAAGAAGCAGAAAGCCAACTCCCAAAGGAGTTGCTTTCCTTTCCCTCCTTGAGTGGCGAGAGGAGTGTGTGGAGCTGTCTGTTGCACCTTCGCAGGGCTTGAGGAAGGCAGGCATGCAAACCTGGCGGCTCCTGCGATAGGCGGGCCTTGGTGGCAATTGTAATGCTGTTCCGTGAAGGCAGTGGGCAACAGTCAGGGCTTTGCAAAGAAGCGCAGTGACACGACAAAGGTGGCGGCTGAGGAAGCAGCGATAAATTGATACATTTTTACTTGTTGGACTGTGGACACAGGAAGGAAACAAGGGATCACAGCCAGGAGAAGATTGAGAAACTCCTAGTTTCTTTCAGTCTAGTTATAGAGAGAGAGGAGTGGGGATTATTTTTTTTTGCCAGCTCCAAAAAAAATCTGTTTTTTATGTTCTGAACATTAACTATATTCAATGTAAAGCATTAAAGTATTTTATATTAGTACAAATAGAAATATGTGTTGTTCTTTTCTAAATTTCGAAATATATTATTTATTTATTTATTTATTTATTTGCCCTATTTATACTCCGCCTTTCTCTACCGCAAGGGGGACTCAAGGCGGCTTACATATGGCAATTATTCAATGCCTAAAACACATGCAACATTAAGCTTATTATGGATATATATGTTTGTTTCTAATACGTATAGCCCCTGGAGAGGGCCAAAACACACATCACTCACTGATTCACATTGGCCATTTAATACATGTCTCTTTCTTTCTTACCAATCAAATTGGAAATGTGAAAATTAGGATAGTGAGTGGGAAAACCAAAGAGTGACTGCAGAATATCATGGGTATTTGATGCTACAATCTCTAGAAAAGAAATGAAGATATATTCTTGGAGATCCTGTCTTTCAAGGAGCTTTTAGATGCTTTATGTACTTAACAGTTAATTTCTGTATAAAGAATAAAGAGTGGAACTACCAGTGAGTTGCATAAAATTAAAGAGAAAATCAATTATGGTTCAACAACACAATTTTCTCTCCCTGTTTGAAATTAACCAAAGTGCCTTGTTTACATGAAATCAGAGGCATAATTTGCTAAAAGTTTCTCATCTGCAAATAATTAGCATGATTTCTTTAATTAGAATGAAAGCTTAAGAGTTGAAATCATCTGGAGAAAATGTGTTCATTCATCATCTAAGAATAGCATGAGATGAAATGAAACTTGTTCATCCTTTGTATAGCTGTTTAGGGAATACTATCAAGGTTTAATTTATTTATTTTCAGATTTTAAGTTGGTGCCATTTAGTTTGGAAACAAGTAAATGAGAACAGTGTCTCTACCTAAAACACGATTAGGAATTAATGCCTCTTACAGCCATGCTACACATACATCATGGTAAAATTACAAGCAACAGCAGTACTCTCATTATTTTGATGTTGCAATTAAACCCAGAATAAAAGAATGTTGATACATTTGTTCTGAATCTAAATCCCCTTCTACACTGCCAGATAATCTAGGTTATCAAATCAGAAAATCCACATTACTTGATTTGAACTGGATTAACTTAGTCTGCACTGTCATATAATCCAATTCAAAGCAGATAATATGGATTTTATACAGCCATGTAGAAGGGACCTATAGGGAATACAATCTTGGTTCCAGCCAGAATCAATTTCCATTATATTAGCATTGCATTTCAGCTTCTACTGTGAACAACATTTTTCAAGTTAGGTCATTTGCAAAGACCAGTTACTGTAAAATACTTATGACCTCATCAGACAGGCCACTGGAATTGCCATGCATCATGGAGTATCCATTGGGGGGGGGGTCTGTGTGGTCGCTCTATGCCCTGAATCACCCATCTCACCCAACACCCCATCCCATGGGAGGGAAGCATTGGCTGTCCGGCTTCCCTCTGTTGACTTCTATTCAACATGGGAATCTTCTTGTGTTGACACTGCAGCAGCATGCACTGGTTTGCATGCTGCTATATTTTTGCAATGGAGCCCAACTGAAAGTTGCTCTACATTGTGAGATGGGAAGCAGAGGGCTCCATCGTAAACGTATAAGCAACTGGCACATGGCACAAAAAAGTACCCCATGTGATGAGCTCATTAAACTATTCTGTGTTATTGTTGGTGGGTTAAATCCCCAAACTGCCTCTTTCCACCCAAGTAGAGCAATGATGCTAGCAGAACAAATGAAGTGGTGACTGTAAGCTTTTTCTGTCTCTGGTTCTCAATCAGATTTACTTTACCTACATCACTTTTCCAAATATACTCTGAAAAAGTAATGTAGGTTATGCTGGAAGCCATAGAGGAAGGGGGAAATGGAGATAGTCTCCCATTTTTCTGATAACAGAAAAGTTTGCTCAGGGAAAGTTTCTAATAGCAGAAAAGAAATAGTAGTAGTAGTAGTGGTAGTGGTAGTCATAATATTAATGTTCTCTGACTCATTGGCATGCATGTTTTTGTGAAATATTTGCATAGTTGTGATGTCATATTTGTTTTTCTATTTTGGAGGTGACATGTTTATGGAAAATACTAAAATTAGTTGAATAATCAGTCAATGTGCATATTAACAGTGCTAAATTGCTATTGTGTCTCAATAGGATTTGGACTAGTTTAAAATGGGCAATTAGGGGGTGGGGAAGTCCTATAAATATGTCTTCAACCATTTTACCTTTATTTAATTAGTCTTCACTAGAATTTTTTTGTTGTCTTTAATTTATTGTCTTTCCCAGTCTTTCATACACCTTATATTTCTAAGACTATACAACATCATGCTAATCGTAATTATACTATTGAAAATAAAATTTTATAATAATCTTGTAAAATATATGTGTAAACCCTTAATGATTGACTGTGTATAATTTTAGTTCCAAAAGATGTAATTTGTTTAACTACTATCTATGATCTATAAAAAAAAATCTTGCTTTAAAGCTGTCAGATAAACATAAAATACAATGTTCCCAACCAGGATAAGTTAAATTATGTAGTTGTCACTTGGATTATGAAGTAGCTTTTCTGCTATCCCAAACCGTACATGATTTATAGTTTTAACGTTTCATTTTCTTTTCTGTCAGACAAAAACTGTTCAATGGACATTGATGAATGTGCCGTCAAACCCTGCAAAAATGGAGCCAGTTGCCATAATGTGATTGGCAAATTTTACTGTAACTGCTTGCCAGGTAGGTGCTCAGGTGGTATGTGGGTGAAGAGTGAGGACAAATGTTCAGGACAAAAATAGAACTAATTTCTTCAGATGCATTATTTTAGATTCAAATTTACTTTGTACAAGCACCAGCCCCGCCTCTCCCCTCCATATCACCCACACAGAGAAACTGTAATGCACAGCACATTTATTATTAGGACAGCATCCTTTATTTTTATAAATTTGCTTGCAGACCATGTCGCTTGAACACCTATCTGAAAATGAGGTGCTGCATACTAATGAAGAAAGGTTATTTTATTTGAAAATATCAACTGCATTCATAATAGATTCTGCAGGGTGTCCATGTTCTAAAACTTTTAAGTATTGTTATGCATTGATTGTGAGACACAATTTTGTGTGGGGAGATTTTATGTTATGCACAGGTTCCATGGTGATGGTGCAGGGGGAGGGAGGGGAGCACCACATTTAACACCGTAGTATTTCTCATCTCCCATGTTTTTTATTCCATTAGTAGTATTGACTGTTTTCTTTTTTAATGCCAAAAATGTGATAATTCCAATAGATTTTGCTTTTCAGATCATGATACTTATGACAATCTTTCTTAGTGGTATTTAGCAGAATGCTGTGGCTTTTGTATATGCCAATTTCATTAAGGCTTCACCTCCCATGATATTTTTTGCAAACAAACCAGAAAATCTTGGCTACATGATGCTATTGGATGGAGGGCTTAACTCAAGGACTAATGGCAACTTGTCATTGTGAATAGAATTGACAAGGGGGCTGTTTCAGGTTTGTAACTGGACTCATTTTGATCCATCATATTTATGAATTGCTTAGATGGATGAATAGTGGGCATACTCATTGAATTTCCAGATAGCACCAAACTGGAAGGGATTGCTAAAACCTCAGAAAACAGAAAAATGGTTCAAGATTATCTCCACCCACTGGAGAACATGGTCAAACAGTGATAACATTATTCATTTTAGAAGGAAAACTTATATGCAGAAATATTGTAAGGGTGATATTTGATTTGACAGAACAATAGTTGGAAGTGATCTGAGGGGTTTAATAGACCATAGGGAAAACCTCAAGAACATATGGTGTACCAAAAAGTCTCAAGAAATCCAACATTTTGCAGATGTCCATGAGGCATGGGGATTTTTTTAAAACCATAAAGGTCATTTATGACCCAACAAATCATGGCATTAAACCTTTATGTTCATCAAATGGAACAAAACTTATAAATGATAAAAAAAATCTATTGCACTACGTTGGAAAGAGCATTATCATAACTGCAGTTACTATGTCACTGAAGAGGTTTTTTTGTAAACCCCACAACAAATAATAATAATAATAATAATAATAATAATAATAATAATATTTATTTATACCCCGCTACCATTTCCTCAATGGCTCGGTGTGGCTTACATGAGGCCGAGCCCACAATACATCAATAAAAACAATAGCAAACAAACAATACAAAACAGTTAAAATACATCTCATAAACAAAAATAAAATATAAGCAGTACAGTTACACAACAAGCATTTAAAACCTATGGCTGGGCCAAATGTAAAATTAAATTTTAAAAAATAATGCTGGGCATGAGCAAAGTAGGATATAACGGGGATGGAAATTTTGGGAGAGGATAGGGCGTGCAAATTAATCAATCCTAAATCAATAATAACGTGCATTTTGAGGGCATACTGCTGAGAAATTCACAACAAACCAAGGATGAGCTTGCAACACTGCCTAGTTTGGAAGAAGTAAGCAAAGACCTTTGACACCGTGCATTGTAATGCTGTCTGGAACATCCTCTTGAAACTGGGTGCTTTGATAAGTTCGTGAACATCTGCAGCTCCTCCATGGTGGAGGATGGCACAATGGCAACCGTCTTGAACAGCAACCACTCCCAAAAAAACTAATTTAAAGTGGGGTCAGATGTCAAACAGGGATGTGTTATTGCCCTAAACCTTTTTTCCATCTTCATCACTATGATTCTGTACCTTTTTGATGGGAAGCTTCCCAACAATGTGGAAATCACATATCAGACGGTCTTTAGCCTCAGCAAGCTGAAAGCCAAAAATAAGGTCACAACAACTTCAGTATGCTGATGAGAACATAGCCTGTTTTCATTCAGAGGAAGGTCTACAAACCACTTTAAATATTTGCAGAAGCACATGGAAAACTTGGCCTCTCACTTAACATTGTTAAATGGTTCTGGCCCATTGTTAAATGGTTACCTGTTCGAATGTATTTCCCTCTATGAACCATCTCGGAGATTAAGATCCTCTGGAGAGGCCCTTCTCTTGGTTCCACCTCCCTCGCAAGTGCCATAGGCGGGGATGAGAGACAGGGCCTTCTCAGTGGTGGCTCCTTGGCTATGGAACTCCCTCTGCAATGAAATTAGATCAGCACCCTCCCTCCTGGCCTTCAGGGAAAAAAACTTGGCTATGGAACCAAGCCTTTGGCCAATAAGCAGTAAAAGGAATGATCAGGGATTATATGCAATATTTGTAACAGCCTGAAATACAATTGTTGGATTGTGTGATTTTAATGTTTATATTTACATGTTTTTAATTCCATGTTTTAATGTTATTACAAAAACCCAATATTTTCATTTTCTTTTGTTCTTTTAAATAGTTAATAAAGGGCTGCCATTCTGGAAGGCTCTGGTGATTGTTTAAGCCCTGTCTGTTCATCCATCTCTGCCATGTCCAACATTTTTGTAATCCATAAAGCTTGAGTGAAAATTACTTCTTGTTTACAATAGTAAGCATAAATAATAGTTGTTGCAGTTGCTATGTTTTAAAAAAGTGTCAGGAACTTTTTTGGTATGTTGAATTTGTAAAGCAAATTCTTGTTGCAACTGTCTCCCCCCTGGAAACCTAGGTCCTCAATATGAAGACTATGTGGATCTAGAATAGATCTCCATAGTCACTTACAGACCCACCACCAAGGCACTATTGTTAAGACAATTACACTCAGCAACAAGTAGTTGCCTATGATGATGATATGATGACAAATGAAAAGGGGCAAGCCCTCTTCACATACTCTGAAAAATCTTCTAAGCATCTGAAGCAGATGTGGGAAAAGTTTTAGGAGAAAGCACACTCTTCGTTCTCCCTTCCTCCTCACCATTAGGAAATAGCTAAAGACCTGGCCGTGGAACCAAGCATTTGGCCCATCTCAGGAATATTTAAAGTTAAAGTTGAAAGTGCAGTGACCCAGGACTGCGGCTATGTATTTGTGTGATATGTGATGTTATTTTATGTGCAGTGTTTGATAATGTTTAATATTTTATTGGGAGAGGGTCAATTTTGATGCTTTATACTGTTTTTATCAAAGGCATTGAATTGTTGCCAACACTATGAACTGCTCTGAGTCCCATTCAGGGCTGAGAAGAGTGGTTTTTTTAAAAAATTATTTATCGTGTCATCCGCAACCAGAACAATGAGAAGAGTGGTATACAAATACAACAAATAAATAATAAATAAATACAAAAAAGTTTTCTCATCTACTGTTGAAGGTATCAGTATCACTTTTTTCTGAGTGGAATACAGTCAAGTGATCTCAAGAGCCCAGTCTTTTTCATTTAAAAGTAATATTGATATAGTCCTATTCAATTTATTCAGTGTATGGGGGAAAATGTAACTACTTGACATAATTTTGACAAGTAATCCTTTTATGATCAGATTCCTGCTCTAAGAAAAATAAGCTTGTCAAATTACTATTTGAAATGTTTGCTTTTTGTTTTGGAATTATTAGATTGAATATCTTTAATTCATCAGTCCCACTATTATGGCTAGGTAAAGATCTGGGCATGGGAGGAATCTATTCATTAAATTAGTTGAAACTCTTCATGATCAGTTAGGATAGAGCATTTTAATCAATGCAACGTCACGTAGCATGTATTTACAACAGTGTTGCAACAACATTGATCTAGTATGATGGACAGAAAAATCAGTATTCAGGCCTAAGCAACAAATCATCTGTGTGTGAAATCAGTACATATCCTTGTGAAGGAGTGACATTTACAACCGTATTTGCATTTGAAACCTGATGTTATAAAATCTTTGGGCTTTTTTTTCCTGGTGGACAGGCTGTTCAGTTAAACAGTAGGGTTGTGCAACTTGGCTAGACTGTGGTTTGTTTTTTGTATGCAAATTTCAATGGGTACCCAGATCCTTTTTTGGGAGTCTCCTGAAATCAGCTAATGGGAAAAGCTGATTTCAGCTTGGCAGCCGAAAGATCTGGCCCATTAGCAGCAATGGGGAACTTATGACGCTACCCTTTCTGGCATCGGACTTAAGAAACCACTCTTTCTGTGATCCTTTCCATTCTGTCTTTCAAGGTGACCTGGATTTAAGGCAAGGCTTAAGAAAACAACCCTTCCTGGGATCCTTTCCCTCCTGTCTTTCAAAGAGACCTGGGTTTGAGGCAAGGGCTTAAGAAAATACACTTTCTGGGATCCTTTCCCTTCTAGCGGTTGTCTCCCTCCCCACACCCCACATGTAGATGAAAGAAACCAAAAAGTTGTTTTTCGGCAGCCACTGTTCTGTTCTGGCTGAAGAAAAAAAAGGGGGCAGCAGAGCCCATGCCATTATGGGCGTCTGAACCAGCCAAAAGAGCTGAAGACTGTTTTTGAAAGTGGATCTGTGCACAACCCTATTAAACAGTATAGTTTTCAGACAGCCTACAGAACTAGCATGTACTAGAGGGAAAATAAGGATAAAATGTATTCTGCTCAGAATGAGTTTCAAAAAAGTTATTATTTAAATATGTACTTTTGGCTACATAAATCCAGGCACATTCTCTCCCTTAAAAAATCTGTCAAAAAGGGAAATCTTATAACTGAAAGCACTTACACTGAAATATATGAAGTCTAAAATATCTAGTAATGTATAGCTGTAGACCCCTTTATTTACTGACTCCAACAAATGCCATTGAACATTATCTCTACACTGATTTTTACGTAAGCCTAAAACCAATTACTCCTTGTCGTATGGAATGGATAG